AGAAAGCTTAAGCTGTGAATCTGCAGTGCGGTGCTGTACACAGACACACACACACACACACACACACACACACACATACAGACGCAGTTCTCCTCCTGCTCACTAACCTATTTCAATAATTCAGAAGAGTGACTTGCTGGCTGCTTGGCGATGTGCTCTATCCATGGACTCGGTCAACCATTGCACACAAACATTCACACGCACAAACGCATACCCACTCACATGAACGTAGTGTTTGCTATGCTTGGCTCTTTTGTCGGCTATATGCACAAGACAAGCTTCAGAGATTTCCATGAGGATATGACTTGTTTCACACATACATACGCCCTATGTGTGTGTGTGTTTGTGTGTCTCCTGCATAGATTGGCATTTTGAATTCCTAAATCCAATATTTTGCTATGTGAAAATACAGAATTGTGTCAGCTAATGGACTGTGTGCGTGTTTGAGGGAGTGAGAGATTGGTTTTGCACTCCTACTTGTGCCTCTGACTGGATTTACATGTGTGTGAGTGTGTCTGTGTTCCAGGAGTACATGGATGAGAGGTTTTCTGTTTAATGACTGGAATAAAAAATCAACACCAACAACCTGGGCACCTAAGTAAACACATACATTACTGTAGATTATCCACTTTTGTGGAGAATAAAAAAATAATACAGGTCTGTTTAGTAAAATACTTTTCAACAGTAGAAGTTACAGTTTCTAGTCTAACCTGTAAAGAAAGGTTTGGACTAGTGGCCTTGGCTGCCTGCAGCAGAGATCAAAGACAGCTTTGCTGCTAAATTTAGTTGCTTATCTCATAAGAGGAAAAAACTGTGGCTCTAAAAAAAGTACCTTAACTGTAGCTTCTGTGAGGAATCTTTTCTCCGCATCAACAATCTATGATTCACATCAAGCAAGGTGCGCTGCCTGAAACAAAATAACTCATCTTGCTTACTTCTATTAGATTAGGATAGGTTAGGTTAGTGTGTTAGCTATAAATTAATCTTATATTTAAAGCCCACAACTCAATTAACTTAACTTAATTACATTAAATTAGAGTTTCTAATCACACTACGAATCGGTTTCAACATTTTGGGGGTCGGCTGGTCGCTGTCTTACCTGGAGTTGAATGGAGGGATGAGTTTTGTACATACAGAGAACAGATCGATCAGGGACAGATGGTGTTGTCCCCCCCCCAGTAACTCAAAGGCTTCCTCATTTGTGACTTCCTATCTGCTAGCTTAGCTGCAAGCTGTGCCTGCATTTGATAGGTAGTTTCTACCCTTTTATCAAATACATGATATATGACATGTGGTTGAGAAGTCACCTCTGATGGCTCTTTCTGTTTCCACTACTCTTCTCTTTAATCTTTATAACTGATTCACTGACCAAATAGCTCTGAATATGGGCATATCTGCCCAATTAGACCTGTTTTCGTATTGAAGAATAGCTACGCTGATGAAGCTCCACTAACTTGATATAACACATTGCATTTTTTTATAACTTATTCACAATTAAAGCAACCCTCAGATTCACCACTGAAAAGCTTTTAATGTGATGCAGCAACAGCAGGAAAGGTTTGCTTTGCATCAGCGGTAACTCAACACAGCTCTGATACAGCTGAAAGCGATCAAACAGTAAAATAAGGCTGATAAATGAAGGTACAAACAGGAACACAGCAGTGAAACTAAACTCCAAACCATAGAGATTCAGGTCGAAGCTACAAAAGTACTGAGAGCTCAACAAAGAGAGCTTCATCTCTCTCCAGCACAGACATACAGTATGAGTTTAGCCACTGAAGATACAGCTAAAGGCTGATTTATAGTTGTATGTGAGGTCTACGTTGAGCCTACACAAGTTAGCTACGCCATTATGAGCATTTATACCTGTGCACTTGTGTTTGTGCATTGCTCTGCAAATAGCTCCATCAAAACACTAGTTGGCGGTGGGGGTTTTCTATGCCACTTTGTTGAGTTGTGACTGAAAACGCTCCCTCGTTTTGTTCCCCCCCCGCCCATGACACACAAAGATGAGGGCATACGAGGGGGCAGACAGGAGCACGTCTTGCAGTGAGGCAGCGTCCCATGTGTGTCTGTTTGTCTGTTTTTGTTTGAAGAGGGATTGTCAGACAGCATTATCAACTCATCGTTGGTTCCCATCTTCACACAATGCACACGCTGCAGGGTACGAGGCTACGCCATACCTACAGCATTGATTTGATGCAGAAGAACATATCAGGCTTAAGAGGAGGAGACCTTCACCAGTTGGCCATTGTCGGCCCTGATACCAAGTAGGACCACAGCGGCTCAGCTATCTGTGAAGTTGTAGTGGAAATACATGTCATCATGGCAACCAGGCCCACGGAAAAACCCTATTAATGCCTTGACTTAAATAGTAATTCCTCCTTTCTTCACATATCACTCTATTTCTTTATAGGTTAGTCAAGCAGAGAAAATGCATGCATGTAATTTATAAAAATATGGGGCCATTTGGTAAAATGTGTACCATTGCCAAACCTTTATAACCCTGTGAATGTCATGGTTGATACATACATAATACACTTTGACAGCATAAAACATACATGTATGTCTGCGTGGTCTCTGTACACTATCCATGCTGTGAACTCTTCTGAAATAAAGAGCAAACACACTGTAATTCACTAGACTTCCTGCTGCTGTGCAGCCTAGTTATAGCGCTTCCAAGTTTGAACTTACATAAGAGATTTTCAATAATTGAAAGTAATTATTTTTAGGAGACCTTTTTCTGTGGACAGAATTGTGATTTTTGTTTCACGTGGGGGTTGGTCAAAGCTTTCATCGTCAGGAATCCATGTTGAGTAAAGTTACCGTGGCATGCCACCCCATGTATCTGGGCTCATTAAAGGATACATGCAATCTTATAAAGTCCAGAAAATAACCGAGTAGATGTACTCTCACCCCGGGGACGCAGGCTCATTAGACTGCACCAGTTGTCTTTTCCCATTGGGAATCTGCAAGAAACTATCTACTGACCCATGGTTTATGCAGTGCTGTTGTGTGGTGCAACTTTAACGCTTTGTGCTGTTACGGATTTTATGAAAGTTGAATGCTGAAGCGTGCTGCAGCAATTGTCAGGTTACCTTTGATGGTGACTGACACAAGACTTTTGTCAAGCTTTTTTAATGGAAGCAACATGCACGCATTATATTTCAAGCATAGACAGGTGAGGTGGATGACTTTTATTTGTCTGTTTGTGTCTGTAAATAGCACCCACAACAAAGTACGGGGTGGAGTTACATAATAGCCTTGGACTAGTTTCTGCTGTGCAGGCACATTGTCAAACACTTTTCACTTTGTAGTCGTAGTCGTGTTTCTTTCGGGGTCATATGCAGGGTGGAACATCATTTAAAATGAAGGAGTTGATAAATAAACAAATGTTTGGGGAAGGAAACAGGCTAATTAATTCATTGAATCCATCATTCAGTAATTTGTGTTATTTAGCTGCAGTGCATGTTAAAAAGAAACTAAACTAGCCCCTGCATGCAGTACAGGGTGTGGTCCAGCATATTAACACCAGTCAATCACTTTGACTGCTCCTGGCAGATTTGCTGACAAAGAGGCTCTATTTTACCACTGCATAATTTTAGTTAAGGCTTCAAGGTCACATTGAGAGTGGGGAATTAGTAAATCTCCAACCTAATCCATCATTCAGTTCATGTTATCTATGTACTTCATCTATCTATCCAATATTTTAAAGTCCAGTATGTTATCAAAGAAGTCCAATAATTGTTGAAAGTTTTTAATAACTTCATACCAATACTGTAATGTATCCATGTCAGTTGGGATCACGATGGTGAATGAATAAATAGAGAGGCATACCTGTGATAACAATCCAATGGGCAGATTTAGGAAAGGTAGATATTCTCCATGTGATAAAAATCGAGTTCATGTGTTTGTGCTGCTCTAGGCAGATTTCATTATTGGCTGACTGCGATAACTCTTTGCCTGTGTGTGTGTGTGTGTGTGTGTGTGTGTGTGTGTGTGTGTGTGTGTGATCCTGCTGATACCAGACACCACCATGCTATTGATGTGAGACCAGTCTCTAACCCTCCTCTGCATCTATCTTTATCTCCTTCCGTCTTTCTCCTTTACACTTTCACATTCATCCCCTCTTTTTCTATCTCCCTCCGTCTACTTTCTGCTTTTTTTCCCCTGGTAACACCTCTCTCCCCCTCTTTCTCCCACTGTTGCCTTCCCCTTGCCCCCTCTTCATTTTCTTTTCAACCCTGCCCTGCTCACCCTCCCCTCCACCTTACTCTTTGCCCTCATTCTTTTCCTCCTTGCCTCATTTTGATCCTGCCCTCCCTCCCTCCATCCTGCTGGCTCAGCTGGTACAGAAGCAGCCTTTGTTTTAGCTGTGTCCTCTATCCTTTGAAGGAGGAAAGCTGAAAAGCGAAAGGCAGGGAGAGATGGAGGGCAGACGTAAAGCATGGACAGGGTATAGGGATAGAAGAAAAATTCAAATGGGAAAATGGGATAAGAGGAAGAGAAGTGTGGGAGGATAAATAGCAATAGGGGGAAGAAAAAAGCGGAGAAGGATGAAGGAAGGAAGGAAGAAAGAGGGATAGCTTCGGATCAATGGCCAGGGTTGTTCAAGTCATTGATATCCAGTAGCAACAGCATGCGAGGGCACATTTCCTGTGTGGGGGGATCAGTCTATAGACCATATGCTCTCAACTTATCACACTCGGTTCAATGGTGCCCAGTCGCAGCGCTTTAGTTCTCAGTTAAGGCTAGCCAAGCAGTTTATTGATAATTAAGCTGTTTTTGGACACAGCCAATGCTAGAGAACACTGTCCACCTTTACTGCCAGCCAAGTAGTAGTCACTATAAATACACTATACATGTAACAGGTTGTTAGAATGTGCTGGGGAAACACAGAAAGAGATTCACACTGTCAAAAAAGTTTGTTTTTGTTGGAAATTGCTTTCTAAGTCCAATATAGAACGGCCATTTATTTCTCTTTGTTTCCTGTTCTACAGTGAGTGAAAACAGAAAAGAAGATTTTGGACCTTTACCCTCATCCATGATGTTAGAGCCGTGGTAACATGTGAATCCTGAAGAAGAGTGTTATTCGCTTTTACATCTCTGAAGGTAAGATACTTTTTTTGGGTCATTTTTATTAGATTAATGGACATTTTGAGAAATACACAGACAAAAAGATTGACACCATCATGTATGCCTCTATTCTAAATATGAAGCTCCAACCAGCCGGTGGTTAGCTTAGCTTAGCATTAAGACTGAAAATAGGGGGAAGCAGCTAGCGTGGCTCTGTCCAAAAGTAACAGAAACTAAAAAGTTTTACAGTTTTATATTTTATTTTATATACAGTATTAATTGAGCATAGCGTTAGTTCAGGCAGGGCACGAAGTCAGGCTTAGCTTTCAGTTACAGCTATATCATACGATCACAGCTAGTCATAAACATACATCAGCTGATTCCTCTAAGCTTCCCATTGGATACCATACACAGTCAGCTGACAGCTCACCTGATTTCCTCAAGCATCCAATTGGCAAACATCATGCATGGCGCCTTATTTAAGCTGCTTTAGCCTGCCTGCCTATCTCTGCTGCTGCTCTACAAGCCTTTTGCACCCACCTCCACCCCAGCTCCTCCTTTTTATGTTGTTTCTAATTAATCAATGTCATTTTCTGATTGCCACTGATGCTTGCTCTGTTCTGTACCCTGGGGGGTCTCTGCTGCCGCTCTCCTTGTCTTAAACTTTTCCATGTAGGCACATGGAAGGGCAGGGAGGTGTGCTCTCCCTGCCTTAAGGTTTTCCACGTAGGCACGCGGAAGGACAAGGAGGTCCCAGAACAGAGCCATACCGCCAAATGTAATTCTGCTTGGAATATATTTTGACGAAAGTGGTCCTGACTGAATTATTGTTGTTATTATTATTAGTAGTAGTATTATTATTATTATGATTATGATTATTATTATGATTATTAACAAACAAGATATAATTATATAATATGTTCATTAGTGAGCTTTAGAAGTGGGGCCAGGCTAGCTGCTTTCCCCTGTTTCCAGTCTTTATGCTACACTAAGCTAGTAGCCTGCTGGTTCTACCTTCATATTTAACATGCAAACTTAAGAGTAGTATTGAAGTTTTCATCTAACTCTCAGCAAGAAATAGAAACAGCCGCCTAGAATTTCTGGCTGGTCCATTAAGGTCCCTGCTTATCTGAATGGAATGAATGGCTATATTCAGCTGGCAGCCGGCTGGGGGTGGCAATTTTGAGTGTTTGGTAGTGTAATTAGCCTATTTCCCTGAATGTCGAGTTATTCCTTTAATAATTGAGCTGTGGAAGCATGTAATAAAAGTTTGTCCCCCTCGGGACTAAACTCTACCAAACAGATTTGCTGTAATGGAGGGCAGGCTAGCCTCTTTTTCCTGGTAGCAGAAACGCAGGCTCTGAGTCACAGTAGTCAAGTAAAGCTGGCTAGATCTGGGTCAAAGCAGCAAGCTTTGGATTTGTCACCTGGATGCCAGGTTACTTGAGTAGTGGAAATGGAGATGTAGGGGAAGCTACGTTAGTGATTTGGCTACATCCGACTTTGTTTGCCCCTGTAGTGGAAACCCAAATAGTGTGATTTGGTTCTCTGTCAGTTTGCCGTGGAAATTTGACTAGCCCTGTTTTGCCCTGTAGTGGAAACCAGGCTATCTTGTTTTCACTCAGTGTGAACATACAGTAGAAAGCAGGCTGGCCCAGTTTAAACTTGTCATTGAAACCAGGTTGTGCCAGGCTCTGCTGTGGAAATCAAGCTGGCCCACTTTGGCCATTTCATTAGGAATCAGCAAGGCTTGAGGTCTTACCCAGTGGTATGACCTTTTTGTTAATAAACCTTCAGGTTCGTCACATTCTCACCCTTTTTTTAACCCACCTCACTTTCTCAGCATCTCTTATCCACCCAGTAATGTTTTCAGGCGAGGATATGGTAGCTTGTCATCTTCATACAGGCTTTCTCTGTCAGGAATCCACCTCTAACCTCCTTACCCCCCGAGACTCTGCTGCTGATTCCCACTCCCCCGTGCCCTCTCTCTTTTCCCCAGACTACTTTCCCCTTTCCGCTCTTCAGCTGGCTGTTGGATCTACACTTTCAACCTCAATACTTTCCTTTGGGATGTGGTTGACTGCTGAACTCAGCTAGAAAGAGGCAGCAGGAAAGGAAAGGTTAAAGTTCTATCTATCTATCTATCTATCTATCTATCTATCTATCTATCTATCTATCTATCTATCTATCTATCTATCTATCTATCTATCTATCTATCTATCTATCTATCTATGAAACAGGTTCATTATTGCTAAATCAGTGATCTTTGTATCTTTTTAACCTTGACAGTATACATTCTCTACAACCAACTGGATTAATTGAAGTCAAAATAGAGGATAAGATACATGGTGCGTGTGTGAGTGTGTGTGTGTGTGTGTGTGTGTGTGTGTGTGTGTGGAGCTACACATTTGTAACAGTTTCTCCGGCAAATTTATATCTGCTCTGACCCTAACAAATCTCACTCACGTGCACATAAAGGGTGTTGGGTGTGCTGAGATATAATCATAGCTAGAGGAAGATTCTCAAAGCATTTTATGCAGCCCTCATGGGTTGCACACATACATGCATGCGTGCGCATGTCTGTTTGTCATGCTTTTCAATTAATCTTCATCATTGTTCATCGATACCCTCAAAATGTTGCCTCTGTCTTTTGCCTTTGACCTATTCATTTAGTCATATTTGTAGCTAAATGCTTGATATATAAATGTCAAGTGATACGTGACTCATATGGTTAGTGTAGATTGTGTAATCAAACCACCACAGACTTATCTTTCACCCTCTTTATTTACAGGCCTATCATATTCTCACTGCTTGACATAGCTAGATATGACATATATTGTTATATTATGTACATAGATTATGGCAATCTCCACCATGGACACTTGAACGTGTGCTTCATTGATTATAATTGTTCATTGATTATATTATAATGGCACTAAAGTTGTGGAACTGAAAAAAGAACTGTTTAAAAAAAAAGGTCCGGATATCCTTAGTTGGTGGGCATGGGTCAAGCCCGAAAAATGCTGGATCCTACATTACCCATAATGCAACTCAACAGGCTCTTTAACTACACAAGCTCTTAATGACATCTAGAGCTGATTTCATGCTTTTCTTTTTCATTTGTTAAAGCAAACTGAATTTGTTTTTGGTTGGACATAAGCAATTGAATGTGCTCTTGTTATTTTTATTTTTTGCCATTTTATAGCCCAAATCAATAATTGATTAATTATGAGACTAATCAGCAGATTAAATGATCATAAAACAATTGTTAGTTGCAGCTTTATTGGCATCATCAGGGTTGTTTTCTCAAACTTTGGAAAGCAACTTCCACAGGCTGACCAGTAAACCTGACCTTTGTGTGTGAAGGTAGTGGAGTGGCCCTTTAAGCTGCGTTATCTACTAGTTTGCGCTGTAAACATGGACAGATAAAACAAGAATTAACTCGATTACTTTCGGTACTGATGAAAAAGTCTGCATGAATCATACTTTGGCAAATGAAGTTTTCTAACAAACAGAATGAGTGGCACAGATAAAATTAAAAAGGAGAATGCAAACAGGCAGGCCCACATGCAGCACAGTATGCTGCTAATATATAGTGTGTTTGTGTAGTTCATCTTTCTTTTCGGGACCTGTCAATCAAGCCTTCCTAAGAATGTACAGACAAACTGAGGGTTAGAAATAACAAGAGACGGAGCACCATTTGTTTATTTTTTATTTATTTATTTTTTACAGTTTTCTTTGCTTGAGGGAGAGCAGGGGTGAGAGATGCAGAGGCAGAAAGGGAGGGAGATGAGAGATCAAACAGCAGTCTCTGTTTGTTTTATCTTTTTAATGAACAAAGTGCCACACATTCCACTGCTGTGGAGTTCACTCACAGGACGATACGCCGATGGGGGAATTCAACCCGCAACCCCTTCAGCTTCTGAGAGCAACTTGAACTAATGCTCTCTTTAGAGCTGGATCACAACCCTGTGTGTGTGTGTAGGTGTGTAGGTGTGCATGTGTGTGTGTGTGTGTGTGTGTGTGTGTGTGTGCTGAAGCCCTCAACTGCTCAGCAAAACAGATCAAAGTCAAGGTCAAGTCTCCCTCTGTCCCCTACTCGCTTTGATGAATGGAGGCCTGGATGGGTGGATGGATGGATGGATAGATGGATGGATGGAAGGGAAAGGAGGACGAATAAAAAGGAGGAGATGGAGAGATGAATGACTGCTAGCACAAGGAGTTCAGAATGGATTGACAGATGTGGAGGGGGTGGTGAGAGTACGTGAGGCGGAAGTAGATGGACGAATGGGTGGATGGATGGATTTGACCTTTCTATCACCCTCGTCCGAGCTGGTCCCTATAAAGCACGGATTTAGTCACATTTTCTGTCCCTCTTTTTTTTCTCCTCCATATTTTTGGTCCTTTCTTCACTTTTTTTAAATATCAAGTGAACTATTTTTTTTTCTTGTTTTGTCTCTAATGTTCTTTACATTTCCCCTCTCTGCTTCTCCTGTTTTTTCTCCTTCTTTCTTCTGCCATTTCCTTTCACCCCACCATATTTTATTATCCTGCTGTTCTTGCGCTCGCCTTTTCCTTCCTGAAATGTATTATTCCCTTTCTCATCTTCATCCCACGTCCCAGCTCATCCTCATTTTTTATTTTTCATTCATCACATCCCGTCTTTCTTCTCCTCTCCACTCATCTCATCTCCGGCTTTCCTCCGTTAACCTCCCTGTTACCTCCTCCCTGGCAGCTTGTGAGTGTGTGTGTGTGTGTGTGTGTGTGTGTGTGTGTGTGTGTGTGTGTGTGTGTGTGTGTGTGTGTGTGTGTGTGTGATAATCTCGCCAGGCTGTGTCTGTGTGTGTGCGTGTGTGTGCACTCTCTCTCCCAGGGAGTTGAAAGACTGCTTGGATCCCTGGGGGGAGTTTGGCAGCCGACACCTGCCGAGGGCCAGCCAGGCCTGGGTCACCAAGCTAACCTCTCCCCGCTGCCTCGCCTCTGGCCCCGTGGGATAATAGGTGTGAGGAGGGGTGGGGAGGGGGAGGTGGAGGAGG